TTCATAATCCACGCAATAAAAAGTAGCCATCGCTTTCCTCGAGATTTCGCCATCCTCGAGAATCACGTTAGCAATGCGTAATCGGTCATCAAAACTCTTGGTTTTGAACGACAACACATTCGAAGTACTAAATTCCAATCCTCACACTCCAATGATTGGATTCAACGACGCCTCCTCTGGTCCACTTGTCAATTGCCCAAGACGTTCGAATGATCCCACACATTCGGGACCTCTCGGTTGTCTAATCTCGAGGAGGCATCCTGACGTTGGTCACCAGAAAGCTATGGTGTATAAACGCAAACCTCATCTATCGACGAGATAGCTCGCACTAGGTGCTAGCTCGAAACTTATTGAGAGAAAATTTCTAGGGTCATCACCAAACACTAGAATTCAAATTATAACAAAGGTGGATATTCCTAAGCCCCATAATAATAAAACAATAAACTCATACCTCGAGTTGGCGGGGGGTGACGAAAGCGAGTGGTCGAAGGGTCATTAAACACACTAACACTAGAGATAGTCTACAGACCCGCAGACTAGCTCTGATACCATACTGTAACGCCCCGTTTTATTTTAAAAGATTTACCGAATTTATTTATAAAAATCAGAATTTATTTTTCGCGAAATCCCAATTTAAACTTTAATATTTAACGAGCGCTACTTAAACAACTAAAACAAATAAACATTTACACAGATACAATCCAACAGCTCAAAACAAAATCCGAAGTTATCCATAAACTTCAAACCAGTCATGCATAAACAAATACTTCACCAGGATTCAATAGTCTAATCAACAGGTTCGAAATAAATAAAGCGGAAACATAATTATTCAAGGTTGGACAAATGGTTTATCAAGATAATAGAAAGCAAAGCGGAAGCAAGTAACACACAATCCAATGACCACCACTCGATCGTCTCTCGCTGCCGCCACCAACCATGCTCAACCTAAAAGATAGGAAGAGGAACAAGAGGACAAAAAAGTAAATGAGGGTGAGTACAACCATCATACTCACCATTACCGCACAGTATATTTCGCATAAAGATCCATAATCATAAATAATGTATGCATAGAATCCAGATCTAACTCCCTATTAGGCCCTATCGCAAACCTCCTATGTACATACAACAAACCTCCCGACCAAACATCGGCGAGGATGTAACTGGAAGCACTCCCACCCCGGATGCAACGGGCGTAGGATCTTACCAGGAGACAGTGAAGTTGAATTACCCCTCCTCTCTACACTGATTCGGGCGTTAAGACAATCCCCTCTGCTCTACACGGATTCGGACGCCCACCTCCCGGATGCAACGGGCAGGTGACTTCCACTGATTATGCATTCGTCAAATGCACTACCATCAGGATACTTAGACTAGGGTTCTCACGCATACAAAAACTATTGCGAAATATATTTATACGAAATAACAAGTGCGATAAATATAGATTCAACATAAATGAACCCACCTGGTAGCGATCGGAATAAACACAAAATAAGGGTAGGCGGCGAGGTCGACTCGTTAAACACCTACATTTAGTAAAATAGCCTTATCAAAGACTATTCTATAATCACTAAGTCTAACTAAGATCACGTAATCATTTAAGCACGCATTAAAACAAGGAAAAACACATTTTCGAAGATATCACATAAGTTTTGAAAACTTAACCCGGCAGCATTTTTAAAACCAACATAAGTTTTAGCACACAACTCGTATGAACGCAAATCAAATTGCATTGGAATCCTAAAAGATGAATCTACAATTCTTATGAAGGCACTGAAAGCAAAAAAGGTCATTTAACAGGTGATAAATCAACAAACATTAAAATTTGAGTCACAGTCCAAAACTGGGAAAAAAAAAACTTGATCAGGCTTTAGTAATTACCATATAACCGGAGCTACAGACATGCTATTAATGAAATTCAAAAACGACATGATAGGCAACTCAATTATCTACAACTTTTCTGAAGATCACATTGGCAAGTAATCACATTATAAATGAGTTTAAACACAAACCATGTGATTCAGTGAACCTGTCAGGATCTAATATATGACATGGACAACACCTCAGTTTTTAACACTTATCTCGAGCTACAGACCTCTAAATGACATGGTTAAAATCTAAAATTAAACCTTAAGAATTCCTCTACACCTTTCATTTAGAACACAGAATCATATGAGACCATTAGAATGGTGAAAAATCAGTTAACATTCAGTTTCAGATTTGGCCAACATGATAATTCCTAACCCATGCACATCTAACTTCATAAAATCATAACTCGAGCCACAGAGTACATATCAACATGAAATTTATCTCATTTGAAAGTTAAAAGAAAGATCTATAACTTTCATGAAGAGTGTAAGTTTATAAATGCACATTTGGACATGAAAAACAGACAAAACATTAAATCCAATTTCGCTGCCTGGTACGGAAAAATTGGAAGTACAACAAATTTTGAAAAAATCATAACTCTTTCGATATAGATCAGAATTGAGAAATTCCAAACCCCAGATTTAGTAAACTGAAAACACTACAATTCTCATGAAGGTCAAAAATTCAAATACTCAGTCTAAGATGGCTCAAACTGCAGCACAACAAAACAGTGAAAACTTGACTTCACATAAAATGACAATCATATCCATTTTGGATGTTCGAATTTCAAGCTCGGTTCATAAGAAGCCTCGACAACACGGAATATCATATTTACAGCAGCAAACAATGAACAGAGTGAGGATTTCAAAATATCGAATGATATTTGATAATTAGTAAACAACAAATTATCAGAATCGAACATATAGGATCACCGAACATAAAATCACGAAATAACACGTAATAAAATAACGAGAGATCGAGACTCGTTACCGATCTCGAGAAAGATGTTCGAAAACAGAACGAAAAGACGAGCGGCAATCGGCTCGACGGAGGTGATGACGGAAGAGGGCTCGAGCTCGCGAGACGGGGACGCAACGGTGGTCGGGGGTTGCTGTCGGTGGCCTTGAGTCGCTGTCGCGTGGAGGCTGACGGCGAGGGGCTCGTGGCGGCTGGATGCTGCGAGCGGGTGGAAGAGCGCGGGCGGTGGCGGCTTTTCCCGGAGGTTCTCGCGTGGTGGCAGCGGAGGTCCCAACGAGATGGTGACGATTTATATGGCGATCTCCGGCGAACAGAAATGAGAAAAGGGGCGAGAGGCAAGAGAGAACTGGAGAAGAAAAGAGTGTTTGAGAGAAATAGGGTATGTTGACGTGAAAAAGAAGAAGAATGGGTTGAGGGACCTTAAAACCAAGTCTTGTAACTCCCAAACAAGAATTATGGTATTTGGCAAGAAAAGGGAATAGGGATCAACATTTAAATTTCCAAACATTCAAATGAGGTTCATGCATGCGTGAGGGATTTAATTTCCATTTGAGTTCAAAATCCCAAAGATTAAAAACTCATGCATGAAATGTAACGGGTGGCGACGGGGTTTAGGCGTGAAAACGAGTCGGGCTGGGGAGAATGGGCGGATTCGGCGGCCCGGTTCCATAATTTAATACGAATATTCGCTCGGTTCGAAGTCTCGATTATTTAAAATTTTCGGTTCGATCGCAAATAAAATAAATAATACTATTCGGTTCGACATTACATTTAATACAATTTAGCAATTACGAGCATATAATTGAAATAAAATTATCGAGCCAAAATAATTAATTTGGAAAATAAAATAAATGTCAAATAATAATATTCAATTATTCTGGGACAAATGGGGCGCTACAATGTTGACATGGAAAACCTGTATGAATTATAGTAAAGTTAACAAAATCTATTGTTTTTGTATCTTCACCCACATTCAAGAAAAAAAAAATTAAAATAAAAAATAAAATTTAAAAATAAAATACACACACACACACACTATCACAAAGTGAATAATGCACAGACACCAAGCCCGCTCTTCCCTTTATTCCCATGGTAGCCATACCAGTTTTATCTTTTTGACAATCAACCACCACCTTAGCCTACTCTACACCAAATTACAATGTTGACTCATTTCCATTTCTGTATCTTCCTTACTTTTTATATTGCGCGATTTGGTAATGTTCTAGCCGCATCACTGGCAGCGAAAAGCATCAGGGACCCATAAAAGCGAGCCATTAGCCTTGAATGATGATGGTAAGGCAGACCCACAAGGATTGAGAGCCCGACCTGAAAAAAATTGGCCCGCTCGTTGCTCCTCGAGATCTTGCCGTCGAGCTCACCAAAATGGGACGCCCTCTTCAGCGAGCACAGGGAATATAGGGATGGCCCGGGTAGTGAAATAAGGTCAAGCAAGGAGCAGCAAGTCCCTCCCAGCAGCTTTATCCACCTCCCGATGCCGGCGGGCAGGTCGGGGCTGCTTCTAGTCCTAGACCGACTGCTCATTCAACACCATCGGGAATGACAACTCCACGGTGAGGGACTTCCCCCGCGGAATTCAGTGCGGCTGTTCTCCGGCAGCTCCGACGACTATGCTGGTTGCGTGGTGGGGTGTCGAGACTCGAGAGAATTGAGGGAGAGAAAATTAGAGTTAAGTGAGAATAAATTTGGGGAAGGAGATAAGAGAATTGGAGAAAAAATTGGGCTATTTATACTTGTTTTCCATGTCATGCTACACGTGGGACAAATATATACACATCAGATTTTCAATTTCAAGTTGGTCGGACACGTAAGCACCGAGGGCCGATTTCTGATTTCTGCGCATCGTTTTGCAAAGAATTCAAAGATCATGATATTCTCCGCCAAGGTCCAAAAATCATGATGTTTTAACAATTTGGTAGTAAAAAATCGTGATATAACGAGTTATTTTGCCCCAAATTTATAATCGTGTCACTTTTTCGAGCCTTCAGTACAACCACCTATTTTATACATGTATACCAAACAATCAATGAAGAAAATTAGAAGATTTTATCTGATTCGTACCACTTTCAAACCTGTAATATAATCCCAGACCTCTTAAACTTTGAAACACTATCTACCAATCATAAAAGTTCGGCCCTTACAAATGGGTAAAAATAAGATGAACAATCAAAACTACCATTTAAACAAAGCTTTACTCCCACTAAAATAAAAAACAAGACACGTGCAAAAACGTATATTCAACAATGTGGTACAAAAGTTAAACAACTAAACTTATACAAATGGGGAAAAATAAGATGAACAATCAAAACTACCATTTAAACAAGCTTTACTCCCACTAAAATAAAAAAACAAGACACGTGCAAAAACGTATATTCAAAGTTGCGGTAAAAAGATAAACAACTAAACTTAACACACTAAAGAACTCCTAATAACCGAGATTAGGGACAGAATAGAGGTCAAAACGTTGTAAGCAAAAGAGCTATAATACCCTATCCCATTATTGCAGCCGCAGATAAACTAAGAAAATGTTTTCTTAATCAGGCAGTCTTATTATCCCTGGTACCATGGTTCAACAACTCTTGCCTGCTTTTATCTCTCTTTATTTTCGCCTTAACCCTCGACTTTGTGACAAGAGTTTGCACAGTATTAGCAAAGTTCCCAGCGGCCATAATTATAAGGAGAATCCCGCAGGTGATTACCTGAAATAGGTAGACATCTGAGCATCGATATATCAATATACTTGAAAATTTGCTTAGTTACAGAAAACAACCTCATTCAGTGTAATTACAGAGGGTTGCGAGGTTCATTCAGTGTAATAACAGAAGAATTAGTTCATATGTTCAAACTTACAAATTCCCCCTCATCTACAACAGATATCACCATAAGGAGATTTCACTTAAAACCTAACAAAGGAGGCAAAAGAAGAATTTGCTTCAGATGATTACTATACCTGCCAGTCTAAACTGAATCCTGCAAGTGCAGTTTTAAGCAGCAAGACCCCAACATATGCCTCAAAACCCTGAAAATTGGGGATCAGTGCTTGCCAAATTTACAACACTTTTACCATGAAGCATATAGTTAAAATATGATTTAACATATTTAAAAATTACATCAATTCACAAGAATAAACAACAATGTGGCTACGCATGATAATAAGGGGTGGTCTGTAAAATACCTGCAAAATGAAAAGTATAGGGCATAACAGAAGTAATTGCCCCTCGACTCCAGCAGTTTCTCCCCAAACAACATCCATTCTCCTTGCCTGAAGTAAAATTGACATAAAAAATTTTGTTAACCTGAATACTGATCACTTTTGTGCCACCACTAGAGAAAACTTCTTTTTTACGACAGGAATTTTCAACTAGAAATATAGCCCAGAACGGCTCCAAGTATCATCTCAAGATGGAAAAATTTTCTGGAGCTTAAGGTCAATGCATAAAGAAACTGAGACCAATTTAGGCAAAAATTAGTGAATTAAACAAGGAAATGCTTATATTTCTTCTCATACGTCACATGCAGAAAATACACAACATTAATTGATCAAATTATATATAATAATAAAACTAACATCTTACCATTATGTTAGCTATGAAACAAGTTATACAAGAAATGATTATTTAATATGGCATGGACTATGGCTGAAACAATTCCGAACGAAGGGAATATATATAATCGAATGGTACAGAAGCCTACTAACTTCAAAGAGGCTAACACACTACCTTGCCAAGAGCAATACGTGTGTAAAGTCTTTGCCGCTGATATCTGTTCTGAAGAATCATTGCAACTCCTTGCATGATTGCCCATTTCAGAAAAAGCTCCACACCTCTCTGCAATATATTCAATCAAATGACTAAAATAAGAAAAAAGGGAAAAAAAATACTGGGAAACCAAGCCGTCATCTATGAGATCTTTTTTTTTTTTTTTTTTTTTTTTTTTTTTTTCCTAAGTTGATGATCAATCCACATTTTTCCTTGCGTGTGTGTGTTTTTCTGGGGGAGGGTTAAGGTCGATGCTGCATACATACCTGTTTCTGAGCGCAATCAGGTCCTCTCTCAATCTCCCAAGTAAGACTAATTACAGCCATACCCATAGCACAATAGTGATGCTTAATCCACCTGGAGAAGTAATATCACGATTCACGAATTAATTACATTATCTGCAAGAGTTCACTACATCATAATCCTAAGAATAAGAATATTCAGATATCAATGCCCACAGGAAAAAAATCTGGAAGCTGAGAAAACCATTGACGCAGCAAATTCTTTGATTTAGAATACATCTATTGCAAGCAATGGGCCTTTTCAGAAATGAAAACAAATATTTAGTAGCATATTCTGTGACTCTGACCAAAGCAATATATTCCTCCAAACCCACATATTTCGTGTTTCCTCATCATTCTCTGTGTATGAGTACAGTTATGCATATTTTAGATTTTCAATAATATCCACATCAGTATCACCATATTAATATAAGTTAGCTTTAAAGATTCGAAGTACAATCTTATCACACCGATTGTATAGTGTTATTACCAGAGATATACGCTACATTAGAAAACAACTCCTAGAAGTTATTTTATTTTCTTGTATGCTAATCACATAACACTTCTAGAGCTCACGGTCAAGCAATCACTTCTAAAATAAAATTTAAGATATTGCACATTTCCCAAGACTGCATGTCTCGTGATATGTGATAAGCGATCGTCAATCCCGTTTATGTTGTTTTCTAAATCCCAGAATCCTTGTTATATGGGCAAGTTTTCCAGTAGAAAAGCAACAAATCAAAAGATCCCACATGTAAGCCGACAAAATTTCTTCAAAACAAAGCTGGTTATTTCACCTATACTACAAGAAGAGGACCAAAATTTATTTTTCATTGGAAATCTTGAAATTTCAATATACAAAATTTTATAGATACCAAAACAGGGAAAGAAACAAATCTAAATAGGTGGTGCAGCTTAAACCATTAACCCCCCCCAAAAAAATGAAGGAAACAAGAATGGGTTGAGACATATTCAATTACCATGGTCGGATATCACTTCCATTTACTCGCAAGATATTTTCTCTCAAAGCTAGACCAGTGTAGAGATACAGTAACCATGCCTGGATGAAGAAACTGGCTTCAGTAATATAAAATGGAACAAAAATAGCATAAAGTCCAGGAAGAAAGTTTATAAAACCTGGTATAGTTGAACTGGTAATGCAGGTAGACATCCATCCCAAATAGTTGACCGTAGCATAAGCAGCAATGAAGGCAGAAAAAGGAACAAATACGCTGTTCTATCCTGCCAAGGGACACAATTATTTGTTCAAGAACAGCAGAGCAAAATTTTCCCATCAACTGATCATAAAATAAACTCACTTACTATTAACCATCACATCAAATAATAATCCACAAAATTGATCATGGCAGTATAAGAACCAAATTTTAAAACTAAAAGTACAGGGAATATATTCTATAACAAATTAAAACCAACAAAAAGATAAAGAAAATTCATAAATTGTTATACTCTGAAATTATTGTATTCTTCTTTCACTTTCAATTGCACATCCTTCCTATTTGCCCGCACATTAATGGGACCTAAAAACATCCTCAGAAATCTCCCTACATTAACAAAAGAAACAAAAACACTACATTAATCCATCAACAACTGTAACCCGATAAAAGAAACCAAACAAAGGAAAACAACAAACCATGAGATTTGCTTGGAAGAAATGCTGCTGCATCTCCTTCGCTCAAAATATACCTAGCTCTGACCAACTCCTCATCCAACTAGCAAATTGTAAGAAAAAAAATAATTACAATAATGATAAAATAAAAGCGCATCAGCACAATAACATAACCGCATGCGTGTGTGAACAATCACATATAGCGCACTTTGTCGTTGTTTAAGGAGCTGCGGAGGGACTTGATCCGGGAATCAAGTGACGCCACGCGCTGCCGCAGCGCATCCTCTTCGATGGAGGTGCGGGATATGAGAGACGCCGCCGCCTCCTGCAACTCCTTCGCTTGCTCGACAAGCTTGGAAACTTCGCCGCCGACGATCGACGAATCACGCGGGGAGTCCCCCATCGGATGATGTCACCCGTCAGCTGGTGCGAGGTTTTCGATTCAGTTGGTGAATAAAGGAGATGTTTTGCAACTTTTGCTCTTTTTTCTTTTTTATTTTTTCTTTTCCTGTCAGAATAAATATGGGCAATATACTTTTGGGTGAAAATGGGAAAAGGTTCTGAGGAGGGGGTGAGCTATTCAGGTGGAGTGGAGGGCTGATATTAATTACTTCCTTGTCTCATTTTTATATTTATTTAAATAATTAACTCCTTATTGCAGACAATATCAAGGACGATTACCTTAATTTAATGACGAGTGGAGGTTAGAAACAGGCAAAAATATAAAGAGGAAAAGGCTAATTGGACATGCTTTTGTTTCTAAATCTATACACAAGTTTGAACTTAAAATTGTTGCTTCAAATACGTTGAATTGAGAAGTGGATGTTATATTTGACTATAGAAACAAACCTATTAAATGATTGTTGATGAAAGTTGATCATTAATGTAACTTAATTACTAAGCAAACAACGTCACATGTCATAATCACAATGTATTTAAAATGTTAAATTTTTTTACTTACATAGTTTGAAATTTATAACATTTGTATATGTTTATATCTATATAGAGGTTATGCATTTATCAAAAACTAGTATATAACTCGTGCAATGTAAGAGACATAAATGTTAAATGAGTCATTCTTATCAGGGCCGTCTCCAGAAATTTGGAGGTCCTAGACAATTTTTTCAAGAGAGGCCCGTAATCGTATTTTTATATTTCTACTTTTTTCAATTGAACAAATAACAATAAACCTTGTCAATAATAAATACGAGAAAACCATAAATATGAGAAAATTTAGTAAATTAGAATACAAAAATTTACAACCTTCTCGTCTTTTTTTGTACAAAATTATCAATCAAGTCACCATAATCAAGTTTCGCAACTATTTTTTTTCAATAGATAACATCATCAAACCATTCAATCTATCTTGAGACATAGTTGACCGAAGATATTTTTTTATCAACTTCAACTTGGAAAAACTTCTTTCAGCAGAGGCCACAGTAACCGGGATGGTCAACAATATTCTGTAAGCTACTCAGGCATTAGGAAAACCATGATACAAATTCTTGATATATTCTAAGACTTCAACTGATTTAGTTAATCCATCCGGTAATGCTTTTCTCAACAGTTACAACTCCGAATATAGTTCGAGTGCATCAATATCAGAATTATCTTCATGTTTCAAAATGTTCTCAAGTTCAACACATGAATGCTTCCAGCTTTCATCATCCATGTTTTTCAACTTGGCCAAGTTGAATAGAAATCCAAAAATCTCTTCGTACTTTTGAAACTGCACAAACCTTAGTTGGAGAGAAGAAAGAGCATTATCAACAATTTGAAGAAAATAATTTACTCGAAAACATTCTTCGGCCCACTGAATTGGTTCATCTCGAGCATTTTAATCAAAAAACTTACTGTTGCGACGAATCCGAATTTCACGAAAGGCGGGTTCCACATCCGACTCCGATGCAATATTTGAGCTTCAACTTTTGCAGTTTCAAAAACGCAGTTTCTGTATTCCTCCAAAAAGACAATCAAGCCTTGTAAAAGACTTATACCCTCATCAATGACCGTATTATTTTTTTGGAAAACTTTGTAAATTGAATTCACTTTTTGCAATATTTCAAACCAGATTACTATCCCCACAAGAAAATCAAAACTTTGAAGTTTATATTCCGCCAAAGATCTAGCATCACTAGCCGTTGTTGCATAGCCACTGTGTTCCACTAGATGCAGTAATGCGTCTCTAATTTGAGGTGCTTGGAATCTTACAGCCTTGACGCTATCAACACAACTCTTCCAGCGTGTATCCGACCACGACTTTAAAGTAAGTCCTCTTCCTTTATGACCTTTTACAAAGGATTTCAAAACATCCCACCTCTATGTTGAACTAGAGAACAACTTATAAATTCGTTGTATCACTCCAAAAAATGACGTTGCCTGAACCGAGGTCATAGCCATATCACAAAGAGTCAGATTTAGAGAATGGCAACCACATGGAGTGTAAGATGCTCGAGGATACTCATTTAGCACTCTACTACTTACTCCTTTGTATTGCCCTTTCATGTGTGAACCGTTATCATAGCCTTGCCCTCTCAAGTCACTTAAATCTAATTTCAATATATTCAAAATAGATTTAAGCTCATTAAAGAGGGCATCTCATGTTGTTTCAACAATATTTATAAATTGAATAAGAAACTCCTCAATTGTAATTGGAGTCTTTGAAACATAAACACATCTCAATATGAGATACATTTGCTCCTCATGGCTTACATCTGGAGTACAATCGAGAATTACAGAAAAATATTTTGCACCTTTAACAACCTCAAGAATCTTTTTCTTTATCTCACCCGCTAGCAAAAGTATCAATTCATTTTGAATATTATGTTCTACCATGATCGGATCAAAATCAACAATCGTTTTAATAATGCTTAGAAAATATCCACTATTATGATCATCAAGTTTTTCGTTTTGCCCACGAAACGCCAAATTACAACTCGCAAGAGTTTTGACAACACAAAAGATTCTCTTCAAGACATCTCTCCAAAATCTCTTCTCTCTCGATGACCCTCTGATTTGCAGAGTCAATTGTTTCTTTTCTTTTCAATCTTTTTTCAGCCTCTCTCTAATCTGCTAAACAATTTATATGATGAACACTTCTTTCATGCTCGCTAAGTCTCTGATAAATATTTGTCCAACCATCATAACGGTCACGAGCAGCTTAAGTGTGTTAATACAATTTCATGACCATAGTGTCCTAGCACAACCAAGCGGCCCAACAAACGTGGCAATCCAATTAAGTGCGCGAGTCCATAACGCAGTCCAGCGTAGCCAGTGCGCAATCCAGCGCGGCCGTCAGTGAGCCCAAGGCACGACCCAACACCTACAAGGTCCAACCGAGGCACAAACCAAATTTCTGATATTTTCTTCCGCCAACTTGTGTTAAGATAAAGGTAAGAAATACCTTATCTCACCTTGCTAAGGCACAAAAACCAAGGAGGAAGGGTGAGGTGATGAGAAAAGTCCAAATTCTCATTTTCGTGCAACTTAATGGAGCTTTCCTCATTATTATAACTCTAACTCTGAAGAAGAACAAGAGGACCTCTAAATATTTAGAAAAGTTCAACAAAACTCAAGAAAAATCCGACTAAAAGTCCAGTGAACCTCTTCGTGCCTTAGAACGCGAGAACAAGTCCACATCGAGTAACATGTCGTTCCTTTCAAGTTCTCTCGAGTCATACTGCACCTAGAGGCTAAAGACAACTCACGAAACACCCTCAAATCAGTTGTCATGAAGAGAACTTGCTTGAACAACTCATTGGTCGAGCAACTAACGAGAATAGACCGAACGTTCATTCCTTTGTTCAAACCCAAACTCCGGTGAAGGTAAAAATCTATCCAACCTAGTTTCCAGCATAAGCATGATTATTTAAGGAATTAAGCATAAAAATCGAGGCATGCACGAGTGATATATTGGTTTTCGATTTTAAAATTTATTAAGCCCTTAATTCGGAAGTCATGTTTTCATGCGTACCATAGTCGAGTTTAGTACTCCTTAGTTCATTATTAAGCATGTGGAATAAGTTGGTAAAGTTTCAGCCTATTTGGTGGTCGTGTACTCGGTCAAGTAGAAATCAAATTTTTGAACAAAATATGTCCAACCGAACCAAGTACAATTTCATGCGAGTTTTTACCAAACCCCTAGTACCAAAAAATCACGATTTATAATGTTAAGTTTTCGGCCCTAAGTCTTTTCATAAAAAGAGTTAAGTGCCTTGAAGACCTAGAACCCTATATAACTCGTTTTCGACTCCCGAACCATTTTTAAATTAAACTGAGGTATTCCAGGATTTTTATGTATTTTTAGACTCCATACACTTCAAATTATAAGAAAAGTCTGGAGTAACTGGAAATGTAGTCGGACGGTCGGTGAGGAGTCGACCGTGACCGTGGCCATGCACGTAGCGTGTGCCAGCGTCTGGTAACTACCGTGTTCAGAGGTTAACTTCTCAGGGAAGTGCCTCCGAACAGAGGTTAGTACCCGTGCCTGCTCGTGTCAGTGCCCAGTGTGCGTACCGAGTACGGTCCATAGCCACAACAGGGGAGTGCTAACGTGCGTGGGTAATGCCGATAGCACTTACCCGTGTCATGTCTCGTGCCAGTGTGCATAGCGGTACCCGGTAGCACTCGGCTGTGTTCAACAGCCCCCGGTAACGTGAAGGATTGTGTCAGTGGCACTAGTCCGAGCGTCCGTGTGGGTAGGGCTCGTGACTTGGGCGTGCGATAACAACCAACTGCACCTTGCACGACTAAACCAAGGCATGAGAGTCTTTAGTGATCAAACCGAGACGCTCATATAAACCGCAATCGACCAGCTCATGGTGAGCCGCCGGTCCAAGTCAGTAAACCGGTCAGTTTTAGTGGTCGGTTCGAAAATATTCAGTTCCAGATATTCAATCCGCGTTTGTATTAGAATTTTCAGTATTATTCTGAACCGAGTCAGTATAGTTCAAACCAATTATTTTATTCTCGGACTTAGAATATTTCAAAAATCATAGAATATTTCCTTAAAGTTGCAGATTTAAAAAATAATTATAGCCGAGACCTAGCCAGACTAGAATATAACAACATCTCATTATTTATTTAGTCTTTATAGCATAAGACTTAGCATGTGTGTTATTTAAATTTTATGTAGCTTAAGGAATCAAGCATCAGCAAAGCAGTTTACTTCCTATACAGCAAAAAAGGTGGGAACGCTATACTGGGATTTACGTATGTTATGTTCTCGGTTATCACATCCGAGGTATGTACATAAGAAAATGACCCCCGACGAGTGGGGAACGGCCTAGGTCCGTATGATTTATCGCATGTGACGAGGCCAATGTGTCCTTAACTCAGGTTCCAGCGGGATTACAGTACATTTATATCCCATTAGAATGTGCAGACGATACCGACCAATGTGTCCGAGTGCAGTAAGAATTCAGTTATATTTATATATGTCAGTTCTCCAAGTTATGCCAGTTTTTTATGTTATGATTATTACTGCTGTTATCTTTGGGTTTCTATGGAGTACCATGGTTATGTACTCACGTCCCATTATTTATGATATTTCAGAAAATGGAATCGAGCATGCAGGCTGAGCATAAGTGGTGGTGGTCAAGCCCAGATGCCTAATAAAGGACATTTTCGTGACTTGTAAGAATAATAATGGATGAACTATAATTGCGCTTCCGTTACTTTTAAACATTATATGGTCGAATAATGCCTAATTTCAGTTTTCTCTTTTATCAGTTTATCCCGATGTGTGATTGGATTGAATAATTTAATAACTACTCGACAATAAGATTTTCTTAAATCTTGTGCTAGTGTATTCGGCTAATTTAAAGGAAATCGATTTTTCAGAAGAAGTAAAGGGGACATCTCGAGATAAGTTAAGTATTGTTAAAAAGGTTTTTCAAAAAGCAAAAAATTTACTCTAATTACAAGCGTTATAAAAGCGAGGTGTTACACTTGCTTTGTACTTTTCACATCCACAAGGATGTGGAGAATGAAGCATACAAAAAGTTAGGTGGTAATAAAAATGTAAATAGTCGGGATTACGCTGCGCGTTTTAAAAGTGGCACATGGAGACTAGTAATGCAAGCCGACACCGTGGAGAAGTACGCAAAAGCCTTGGCGGACATGAGAGAAAAATTGCATCTTCATCCAAAAATTTTGCATTATCTTGAGTCCACGTGGCTGGATCCACATAAGGAGAAGTTTGTTCGTCTCTGGACAAACTAAGTACAACACTTTGGGAACACAACAACTTGTAGAGTGGAAAGAACGCACGCTGCCTTGAAACAATGTCTTAACACATCCACTGGCTCATTTGATACTCTTTTTATTTCGGTACATGAGGAGACTGGATCTACAAATACACAAATCAGGTACATAATTACATTATGGTTATGGTTTGTAATATTTAAATATAAAAAATATGTGTTAAATGATTAGGATAGAAAAAAAAAATTGCAGTAATGAAACTTTTGAATAAGACGTTCTGAAGCCCTTTAAGCGTACCATTGGGACGTTTTCAACTGTTTCAAGCTTTTGTAGTAGACTTTTGTATTCCCTTTAATCATACCACTGGAAAGTTTCTAGCTGTTTCAACCTTTCGTATTAGACAATTTTAATCTCTTTAAGCATACCACTGGGAAGTTTCCAGCTATTGCAAGCTTTCGTATTGGACGTTCTAATCTCTTTAAGCATATCACTGGGACGTTTGCATGCTTTTTCCTTAGACGTTTTGTTGTCTTCCAGTATTTGGGGACTTGGACGTTCATTTTACTTGTCAATTACTTACGAACTGAATATAATGTTTTTATTAACAGGTATGATCAAGAACAATCATTGTGTAAGAGTAATGTGGACCACACGATACCCATACTTGAGAAATCGCACATCACTTCATTGTTTGAATTTGTTGTTAGAATTTGTGCCAAACGATTGGGAGGATGATACACCCAATTTGTGCCAACATAAGATACGAACTACTCATGGTATGCCATGCCCTTGTGAGATTTACTGAGCACTCCTGAACAATATATTTTTTGAATGCATAACCTACATCAGTATTGGACAACTCTTCGAATCAATTCCTAAGTCAATGTTCGTCAAGAAGAAGGGTCGATAGATTTGCAACATTTTGATAGTCTTGTTGCTATTGTCAGGTCCAAAGATATATTCAAAGGGTAAATGCTTTGCTTGGTCCTCATGTCTACCGGGATCAGGGAGAATATGGAGAACTGGATGTGAATGAATCACGTAGAGGTCGGCCTGCGAGCAGAGCCTCTACTAGTCGTAACTTGTCTTCATGGAAGATCAGTTGTCTCGACATCGATAAAAGGGATCTGAGTTTATCGAATAGTGTCTCTCGTGGTTGTAGTTCCTAACGTGCTCCTCACGTGGGCGTGATTCCTCATGTGGGCGTATGTTGGGTTCTATGAGGAACGTCAATGACATGCACAGTATTGAACTTATCGAAATAAATCCTAACGCAGCGGAATCTATAGTTAGGATTAGAACATTACCTTTAGAAATTTTTGCCGACTCAGAGACGTTTTTGATTTCCTTTGATGAAGGTCGTCTGAGTACCACAACTCAATCGGTTGAAGAGTTTTGAGTTTGTCGACTCTAGTCGAGTGTTGAATCACGAACGGATCATCAGAACAAACTTCTCAGGCTCGGGACAGTTGGGCAGGTTTGGATCTCGTCCTGGGTCGGGTCGGGTCGCAGCGGTTCGGGTCGCGGACAGATGCGGGTCACGGTCTGGCGTGGGTCGCAGTCTAGTGGTCGGGACGCGTGGACAGGTAGGCCGGGTCACTGGGTGTGTGCGCGTGCTGGACTAGAGTCCTAGGTCGACGTGGATAGGGATTCGGGCAGCTGGCAGACGCGTGCGGGTGTCCTAGGTCGTCGAGGTCTAGGCGTGCGGGGACTTGGCGTCACGCGGGCGTGTGTGGCAAGTCTCCTGGGCGCGCAAGGAATCCTGGACCAGCGCAGGTTGGCGAGCGCGTGGGACACGGTCGCGAGATGCGCAAGACACGAGCAGGGCGATCGGGTCTGCTCGCCCAGGAGCTTGGCGGTCGATACGCGTCGCTGGGAACTCGCGGTTGGGATCTGGGCGCGAGACTGGCTGTGCGCGGTTGCGGGCGGGACTCGCAATCAGCGCGCGGCTGGACTCGAGCAGAGCTCGATTGCGATCGGTAGCCGACGGCAGTTTTCCGATGAGGTCGACGGCGGCGGACGGCGGCAGTCGGCTGAGGAAGATGACTGGAAAATATGAAGCTTTGGGGTTTGATAAAATATTACCTTAAAGCCTTCTAATGAATTACCTAAACACCTAATTCAATTAATCTTGGTGGAGCAATTAATTGAATCTCCCAAACACTTAATCAAGACAATTTTCTCTCTTATGAAGATGGAAAAATCAAGCACATCAAGTCAAGTACAAGAGGTTTAGACATGGTGTATTAATAGGCTTCATTAGGGACCTTAAGAAGGTGCCAAATATGGGCTTATCCCATTAGGACAAGGAATCCTAATTCTACTCCATAAACTAATTCCTACTAGGTCATGATTCCTTCCTCCTAACATCACCTTCTAGAAGACTCTTTAGTCTCCTAACCCTAGGTAATATTTTAGAAGGAATATTGCCTAAGTCTTGGAATACTAAATATGGAGTAAAATTAATTCCTAAAATCCTAATAAAATTAAATAATAATATATCCCACTGAATATTGTTATTGCTCTCCCTATTTGGTTCCAATTTAATCAATTAAATCAAATCTCCACTTGATTAATATTTATTAATCTGACTGATCGATTTGCCTCCCCATGTTTAAGATATAACGTCCGTCGATCAATTAAATTACTGGCAAAATAATTGATCAACGTCTTTATTCATTTCCGAAATTAGTACCACTCAGATCTTTAATCATTATGTCGGATACACATCCACCTGCAGGGTTTAACATAATGTTCCTTCTTGAGCTCATTTCGGGGACGCCATCAACCCAACGCACTGGGACACAGTTACTGTAAATAATTTATAATAGCACACTATATAAATTTTCTTACTTACCAAAATACCGAGTATGTCATCCTAACAGAATAGGAATCACCCTTGGTAAATCAAATAAATAAGTAATAAATATATATGCCTATTTTATATTATCTTACAACTTTAGAGAACGCATCAATCACTGAAGGTCTAGATTACAACAACGGTCAGTGGATCTCGTAATCTTATCCTTCCGTGGTCCTGTTCAATACTTAACATAAGTACTAGTGTAGTTCTCCAGTTAAAGGTCAACTGAATGAAGAATACACTACAGTCTTTTTCCAAGTGGGGTCTCACTGCCAGTCTAGATCGTAAATAAATGATTTAGTCTTACAAGGAACCGATAGGTGACCTTACTGTTCGAGACACCACGAACCACACTATCTCAATGTAAGACAAGGAGTATGATTGCATAAATAAATAAACTGCAAGCATATGTACTTTGACTAAAACGCGATTGCCAGATCAAAATGGTATTATTAATATCTGAAAGCCAAGCTTTTTCAACATATCTAACAATCTCCCACTTATGCTTAATAAGCTCATGGCTATCACTAACCACAATTTTCTTTTAATCTAATTATCAAAGGCTAGTCTACTATGTCGCCCTAACATTTGACTCTCATTCCTTCTTCGTGTGTTGAAAAGACTTTTGCTTGTAGGCTCTTCGTAAAAGGATCTGTTAGGTTGTCCTCTGACTGTATCTTGGCAACAGCGACTTCTCCTTGTCCAACGATTTCTCGTATCAGGTGGTACTTGCGCTCTATGTGTTTACTCGCTTTATGAGTTCGTGGCTCTTTTAAATTTGCTACTGCTCTGCTGTTATCACAAAATACTGTAATTGCAGCGGGCAAACTCGGCACCACGTCAAGGTCGAGGAGAAAATTCCTGAGCCAGACAACTTCTTTCGCTGCCTCTGAGGCTGCTACATACTCAGCTTCTATGGTTGAGTCTGCCACGCATTTCTGCTTGACACTCCTCCATACAACGGCTCCTCCTCCTAAAGTAAACACAAACCCTCAGGTTGACTTGCTTTCGTCCCGGTCTGCCTGGAAATCAGAATCGATGTAACCTAACGGAAGCAATTCATCTGTCTGGTAAATCAACATATACTCCTTAGTCCTTCTCAAGTACTTGAGTATATGCTTTACCGCAGACCAATGTTCCGGTCTTGGATTACTCTGATATCTAGCCACCATGCCTACTGCATAACAGATATCAGGTCGCATGCACAACATCGCATACATGAGGCTTCCTACTGCCGATGCATAAGGAACTACCTTCATGTCCTCTATCTCTTGAGGAGTCTTCGGGGACATCTTCTTAGGTAGAGGGATTCCATACAGAAAGGGAAAATCCCCTTTCTTCGAATCATGCATGTTGAAACGCTTTAGGACAGTATCTATGTAACGCCCCACTTTGATTTAACGAAATTTTGGGCTTTCAAAAAAATCAACTTATATTTTTCAAAATTCAGTTTAAACATTGGTGGCATTACTCATTTATTTCAAAATCATTTCCATGACATGACATCGACTCATAACATATCAAACTCCCAAAACGAGATCCCATAAAACCCTCAATCACCCAAACCGGGTTTTCACACTCATCACAGTATTCACGGGGCATCTCCCCAACATTATTTCAAATCATCATAAAATCTAAAGTTCTCATAAATCCCAAGTCATAGAATCATAATATCATAATTCAATTCATAATTAGCAGAAGCAACAAATAACAATTTGGTCATATAGACCGACCACCACTCGCTGCATTCCGCCATCATGCCTGCCCTGCTCAACCTGAAATGTTAATTTCATGTGGGGGTGAGCACATATGGAATAACGAGGTGCTCACAACTATGCAATAAACAATAGTCCTAATATAATACAGGTATGGTCACAGCATGTATACGAATCAATTAATTATGCCAATCTCCCATCATAAATCATAAAACAAGACTCATGTGCACACCTACGCATACACTACTACCGACTATATATCGAAAGCCACGGCTCCAGCCTCTGGTCTTACAACGAGTGCCCAGCCAGTAGAAGTAAAACCACCGTTGGCCGAGCACTGCCCTGGTCTCACAACAGGGTTCATATCGTCGACCGAGTATAGCCCTGGTCTCATATCTCCTACTGAGCACAGCCCTTGTCTTACAGGCTTGACGAGGAGATTACCCCAACGAAGTCCGTTCCATAACTACGGGAATAAACGTTCAACGACCGGTACAGCTCACATCGAAGGCTACATGGTTCACACGCATTGATCATACCACACGTAAGGCAACAATTTACTGCATAGCAATTTCAAATAAAACCCACCTGATAAATCGGTAGAAAAAGTACACCAACAAGTCGGTAGGTCGAGGGCTCGACTCCTCAAACACCCGTCTCCAGGAATTTACGAGCTCGGGGAAGGCACGAACGAACGAAAAATCAAACGGGCAGACAGAACTCGAAAGGTCAGGCTCGACGAACGGAACTCGTAACGCCTCGAAAGTGCTGCTCGTGAACGGCAAGTGAGGCTGCCCTTGACGACGGACGGTGATGATTGGTGACGGATGTTGACGGGCAGAGCTTCGCCAGAAATAATGGAGGTTCGCCGGAATTTGAAGCACGCAGCTATGGAGGACTGGGACTGGTCGGGACCTTCGTTTGACAGCGGTTGCTCCTTGCTGTCGAGGACGGACGGCTGCCACTCAAGAACGATGGTCTGTAACAGCTCTGATGAGATGGCTCGCGAATTGAACAAGTAAGGGTGACGGGGTCTGAAATTCGAATCGGGGCTCAACTTCTTGAAACAAGGTCGCCAGTTGTTCACTAGTTCCCCAGCGAGGGCGATTCGACGACGGTGAGACGCTGAGAGTGACGAGATTTGGGAGAGGGTTTGGTTTTCTCATTTTCGATTTGATTTGGGACTAAAGACAAATGAAGGAGGCAAGATTTGAAATTTTACTTCCCGATCTGATTCTGATCCAGATTGAACTTCTGGCTGAGTCTAAGTAGGAGAAAATGATGAACGTGGGAGAGATTTCTCACCAAAGAATCGCAACAGATCCGATATGTTGGAGGAGGAGGTTTGGTCGTCGAAGGAAAATTTTTCCAATGTGGGCTGAGGCTTATTCACATAATGGGCCAAGGAATTAATTTTGGGCCGAAAATGGTCAATCAAATTTAAACACTTAAGGGCTAAATAAAATAAAATGATCGAGAATAAAATAATCCAAATGGACTGAAATTAGAACTCATTTTGGTCAAATGAATAAACTGAAGGTTCGGATTTTAATAGCACATAAAGGTCGAAAATAATTCGACTTGAGCCAAAATAAAATTATCAGAAAAGACCGAAAATATTCCCGATAAAATGGGCCGATAGAATAACAAGGACTACCGATCGATACAATTAAACATATGGCGATGGACAAAATAAAATAGCACGACATATTAAATCAATTAAACGAGATTATCCAATTAAAATAATAAGGCTAACCGAAAATAACGAGCAGTAGTACAATATAGACAATTAATTCAAATAATAATAATATAATATTAAGAAAATCTAATAAACGAACAGGGCGTTACAATCTATCCTCCTTAAAAGATTTCCGTCCTCAAAAATACTAAAGAGCACGAATCCAAAGGAAACGTTAGACTCAAATGAGAATCCCCAATCATGGGCCCCGAGTATCCTACCCGAAACTCGACCCTGCTCGTATGAGTCTTATCGTCCTAATCTCAGAAAAGCGTACACTCACATATAGGACTCAGTCCGAATCGCCCTATGCTCATATGTTTACCTTCTTGCAGGGGAGGGTGATCAATCCTGCCCGAGCTCAGGCGCACATCCTCTTGCAAGGGACTCAGTCCGTCTTGGCCTATACTCATGTGTATCAACAATTTGCTTCGTACCTAACAACACCCAAGGCCCCAACAGGGCATTTGGTGTATTGCTAGCATACTCCGACTGCCTCACTATCAAGGTGGATACGTGACGCCAAGCTTCAGTCTCGTGCCCGAGGCACACTAAAACTTGCTCATGATTTTCATCACAGAACGGCGTCTCCATCAGAGACCTCGACACGGTACCACATATAAGCAGTACCACTCCAATGTACCCATATCCTCAAGGATATCGACTCTACGAGTCGGACGTAGCCCCTAAACGCAGCACAAGGCTCGTCAGATAATAACACGAAACTTCCTATTTTTTCCAACTCGAGAAAACTCGCGCGTAAGGCATAAGGTCTCATCGACCACACTCCTTAATCAAAAAAATAATCGGTCAAGGATTCATATAAGTTTTAGTGGAACTTGGAGCTCTCGGTTTAAGGCCCGAAATGAAGGGTTCAAAATGTCTAACCAAATAGTCCAGCGTGAAACGGTTCGAACAGTTCATGAAAGAAATCTATGGTGATGGGTCAGTGCACTGTCACCCAAGAGGCGGCATGTAATTCCCCAAATCAGTAATAATATTAAGAACGGTTTCACTGCTCGACTATAAGTGAAATCCGTAATTTTCAGAATTTAACCGAGGTATATTTTATGCTAAATGCTCAAATATGATAAATTATTCTTTGGAATAATTCTATCTCAAGTATAAGTCAAAATCAATCCATTAATTTGGGTTGTTAAATTATAGCAAGCCGATTCAAGTAATTATCGACTTCGAACCCTAGTTCGATTCCGGATTAATTTCTAGAAAATCCCGAGCATAGCCCAGTATTGGTATTTTTATACTTAGAATATTTAATATTCTAAGTGTATTAAAATACCAAAGTCAAGTTTTGATCATTTTAAAATCGAGCCCTAGTCGAGCCCGTGCCCGAGCCTCGGACCCGCGCTATTAAACCGCGCCCATGCACCCTACCGAGCCCAAGGCTTGTCCTAGCCATAGCACATTGGTCCTAATATTTTTCTAAGTATGGAAATCAGCAAGGAAGGCTCAACAAGTAATGAACTCAGCCCAAAGTCATTTTCCCACGCGCAGCCCATCTTCCCGCGCAGCCCAGCACGCGCCCTCGCGCCCAGCCTGCGTCTCCGCGCCTAGGGCCCAGCGCCCAGCCCAGCGCCAGCTTTGGCAGCCCAACTTCTTGAGCCCAAATGGCAAAGTTCCGGCCCACTTTCACCCATGACCCCTTAATGCGATCATTATACACTTGATAAGGGTTAGATTAAGCTAATATGTCCCTAAGCAAGGTTAAGGGAAAGTCAACTTCATCAGCCCTTAAGTAGAGAGTATGGGCATGGATTATTTTATTCAATTATGTAAGAGATTGTTCCCTTGTCTTGGACCAGCGACCAGAGCACTATCCCACACTTATTCCCTGCCCATTATACTCTGAATATGCACCAGAAGTCCACCTAAAGTCGTGCCCATCTCCTCCCCAAGTCCCCATGCATGTGATGTGGTGAAATCCACTTAAAATGTCCCCCTCTTGACCAGCCATAGTAAACTCCGCCCTTAGCCTATTTAAGACCCTTCCCTCAGTCATTCCAAGCTCTTAGACTCTTTACTACTCGAGCAAAATAGTGAGTAGGGAGGAGAAAGCCCGAGACCAAGGCCAGCAGCCCTGCCGCCCGCGCGCGCGACCCGGGGAGAGCCACCATCGCACTTCAGCCCATTCCAGCCAATAACTCTCGAGGCTTAGCAATTTCTAAGTATTTCTTAGATTTTTCTAAGTCTTTGGAGTTGTCCAAGCTCAGCCAAATCGCACTCCAAGTTGACCTAAGCCCCAAAAGCCGCGCCTAGCCCTAGTTTGAGCCGTAACTCGAATTCTCCACTTCCAGCCGAGGTAAGCTCGTGCCTTATGAGTTCATAAATTATTTTATGACATATTATGATTTTTCATGAAGAAAAATCGAGCCATTCATGTGTTTAATGATGAGTTTCGAATTTATTAAGTTAATGGCCTTAAAAATGAAATTTTAGTTCCAAACATGTTAAAGTCGAGATGAGTAGCTAAATCACCCTTAAAAATCATGTGGTTGATGATGTTAAAGTTTGAACTTATTTGGAGTTCATTACCTCAGTCAAAATGCTCATGATTTTATATGAATTTTCACTCCCGAGTCAAGCCAAGATGCATGCATTTTATGACCTAAGTATTAGCCCACATTGTCATCATTTTTGATGTAGTATATTCGTCCTTGAGTAGTTTTGTAAGTTATGTATGTTGGTTCGGACGTCAAGTGCTCGTACGGGCCGTATAAGCCCTACCGAGTAGCATGCACGTGGACCCGGGGTCCACTAGTGTTTCATAGCATATCTATGTCACATTTATCATATTATGATGTTTGGTCATGCATGTCACCGGAAAAAGTCGTCGGAGGTTCGGCAAGGGCCGGCCTTGGTCACTGGCCGCGCACATAGCACGGCAGTGCCCGGCCCTAGTGCCAGTCCGTGCCCGCGCCAGTGTGCGTGTGGTACCACCAGTCCCAGTGCCCGCGACAGCGTGCCAGCAGCGCCTGTCCGCGTCGCACCCGAGGTCACGGCGCCAGTCGCGCCCAACACCTCCGACAGCGCCCGGCAGCGCTGTCCTTAGTCTACATGCGCGTGGTCCCGGGCCAGTAGCTCGTGCCCGCGCATGTTCAGCCTCAGCAGGCGTGGCCATGGCACCCAGCGTGCCCAGCCATGCGCACGGCGC